AGAGAGAGAGAGAGAGAGAGAGAGAGAGAGAGAGAGAGAGAGAGAGAGAGACAGAGAGAGAGACAGAGAGACAGAGAGAACGAGAGAGAAAACGAGAGACAAATAAAGAGAGAAAACGAGAGAAAAATATAATAAAAGTATTATACCAAAAAGCTGTGCCTTCCAACCATTAGTCACAGGAACGGTTTGCTACAGCACAAGTTGAGCACATGACAGAACGGCCAATCACAAACTAGCCAGGGCCGAGGACAGCAATTTCAACCGACCTCAAAGGCCAGGCGCTAATTAGGTCAAGTAACAAGCTGGCTAAAAGGAAACTAGGCCAACAGTGAGACGTCATCACTCAACAATAAAGTACTGTGTACGCAGAAGTGAAGTACGACCCAGCTCTCCGGGAAACGGATGCGGATGGTGACTGACTGCACTGGTAGGGATAGAATCTAGATTAAAAACTGAACGAGAGAAAAAGTACCGATCGATCGAAAGAATTGCTGAACTGAAAGAATTGAAGAACTGAATTGAACTGAACTGGTAGGGAAAGAACTACTGAACTGAACTGAACAGGTGAGGATAGAATCTAGATTAAAAACTGGACGATGGAAAAAGTATGGATTGATCGAAAGAATAACTGAACTGAAAGAATTGCTGAACTGAACTGAACGGAACTGAATTGAAATTAAATTAACTGAAATGAAATTAACTCAACTAAACTGGACTGAACTGAAAGAGTTGCTTTCTCCCTCTTAGAAGTCAGAGATACCCGTACTGCAAGGTCGTGTGGTGAGTGTGGCGTTTTTAGTTCAACGGCACTTGCGACACAAATAGGGTATATAAATGTCAACCATTAGAGGTGTTACTAGAGAGGAACGTACCAAAAACAAAAAGAAGAGAAGGAAAGATAAGGACGATAAATGTTTTTATAGCAAAGAAGGAGTAAACCATACCAGAGCACCCACCCATCATCCACGAGTACAATGTCAATAGCCAGGTTTCTATTCCTAACTTGGTGAAATGGGTGAGTGTATGTGGGGGGGGGGACGGGGCATACGTCCCCCTGTTTTAACCGATAATTTTATATTTTGCAGTTGGGTTTGGGAGATTCGTGTACAGTGGCTTTCCAAAGGACTTAACGTCGGGCCCCATGACGGGCTTCGAACCCATGACTTTTCGGCGATATGATAATGGTACTGTATGATACTGTTTCGTTAC